TATAACGTGGCACGGGGAATTGACAACCCAGTCAGGTTATTTGGGTGACGTCAGCGTGACTGTCACCTGTAATATTAGGATAATAAATATTTATTATAGACCTTTCTGGCGGCCGTTAAGAAAACCGAGTTAAAAACTTTGGCCATAGACTCCATCGTTGGGCGTTTGTATTCTTGTATCTGGATTGTATAAGCTTTCGAAAAATACGCTCACAAATAAAGGAAACTACTCACAAGGTTGCTGAAAACTCTTCGACAGTCCACCGAAAAGTTTTCAGCAACCTTGTGAGTAGTTTCTTTTATGAAAATATACCGTGATATCTCGAATATCGTGCCAACTGAATCATGAGGCGGCCTGTGTGCAGCACATTCAGTTGAAGAACAACATAAACGAGAGATTTACTTGAGCCTCCGGTGAAGACCAAATTGATTTGCAAATGAGTGTATTTGTCGAAAATATTTACAAATAGTTCGTAGGGCGCAGATGAGCAGGCACTAGTTTGGTCTTTCAGTTTTCCATCAACCATTTCCAGAGTAGCTGTCTTCCAAAAGTTGGAAATTTTCTGGTTATAAACCATCAGGTGGATAAGATTGAAAGTGGTTCCTTAAACACTCGGGAGGACCAAAAATTTGATCTGAGTTTGAGAATCTTCATTTACACTGGTAACAGTCTAACTAGACTTGTTAATAGGGTTTGGGTGCCTTCAACCTAATGACGGTTCGTGATTGAGGGCAATTCAGAGGTGTGTGTGAAGAAACTCATAGTCTTTGTTGAGATGATGTTATTGAATGAGTTTCGTTGTCGCTTCAGCACCCTGAGGTTGGTCGTGTGATGTGGTTTAGATCCAACTTTAAGTAATCTTAGTAGCCAGCTAGGAACGCCTATGAGAAGCAAAGGTATTCCTGTTGTTCAGAGGACTCATGAGGAATTAGACAACCGATTGGTTTATTTGAATTTTCCACCATGGTGTAAAAAGCGCGGTTCAGATAAACGGTCACTGCGGTGTAACTTCAAGATATTCAAGGCGGTTTGTTTTACACAAATCACCGGGGGACAGGATTGCTTACTGATATAGCTATCTCTCCTGATTGTAAAATATTTCGTTTTACTCGAAATGTTTTCGCAACCTCTGATAATTCGCACCCGAGTATTGAACTGACCTAACTGAGCTGGAAACTGGTTACCCCTTGTATACTGGCCAGTTCCTTTGTGATACCCCTTCAATGCATTGTCACCATGCAGTTTGGAAGAGCCATGACGGTTGAATTACCTCTAGATTGTTCAACGGTAGACAGGTGCAGCTGAAAAACCAAGTCTTTGCTTCGAAACATCGACCTTCTGGTGACCTGAATGCTGAGCTCTCTTAGGATAACGCAAAAACACAAGTCTCGGCTTTACAATTCATCGAAGGATACTACTGATTTTGATACATATATATGTAGTGGTGCTGGTCAAAATATCTGTTGAGTACAAGCGTTGCTACATCGGGTTTTTTTCAGGGTGGAGTGACCCCAGGAGACATGAAAAGTTTTTCAGCCACAGTCAGAAAAACAGCATCTACAAACGGAGTTGATCCGTAAAATAGGCCCGGTTCCTCCATCGAAGTTTGCACGTTGGAGGGCTGAGTTTGATAAATTTTGCCCCTCTAGAAATGCGACTATAACGAAGCTATACAACTCAATAAAATAGGCATTGTCTGTGTGTTTACTTCACGATCCATAGAGGCCCGCCTGCGTGGCAGTTGGACGAGCAAGTTAGCTAAGTAAAGAAGAAAGT